ATTCTGCTTTGGAGATGTTTAAAAGTGTAGTTTTGTGTTTCATAAAAGTGTAAAAAATTGAGTTTTCTAAATTGATTACTCGTTAATCGATGGAGTGGGCTGATGTTACAGTAACCCCCGGGCCACTTTTCCCCCAAGTCTGCTGCTGGTTAGCATGAAATGCCAGTGACACATAAAATACAGAAGTATAGTTTGGACACGTTTTCTCATTCAGACACTCAAAAAAAGTGTCGAAACTTTTGACTGGAAATCCACGTGGCTGACTTGTTCAGTCCTGTTGTGTGACCTGGCAACCAGTTTGTGTTTCTGATTACATACTCTTCAACCATTACACACTCAAAATAAAATATTTGCATAACTACTATTCATAACTATACATAAGCACATGTCCACTTTTTGATAATTAATTTAATCTGTTAACGAACAGGCGGCGTCACGTGATAAAGAACTGGTATACTTTATATAGACAAGACTAAACAAAAATGTTGATTTTTTTTATTATCATTCCAAACATTATCTCGTTTAAATGTTTTCATTTCAGTGGACATAATGAAAGTGTTTAACACCCCAAAGCAGCACAAACAATGTATTTAACGTTTTTTTAACCATGAACCCCCCGCGGAACAGATGGTACAGTCCGAAGGTTGGTACAGTCCGTTTCCTGCACTCGGTTGCTAGGAGGCGGAGAACGCTAGAATACAACGCAAGGAGAAGCTCTGGGTCACACGGCTCTGCTACGACACGTGATAGTTCCTCGGGTTTTTTGGTATGGGACTGTACAAGTTGTTCAGTGGCTTCAACGGGTATTGGATTATTATTGATTAAATGTTTACAATGGCGTCCGACTGCACTCAAGAGGCCGTTCTTGTTTTTCTGCAGGGGAAAGGGGGCAAAGCGACCAACGCGGATCTAATAGAGCATTTTAAGTTCGTGTTCCCGGGGGAGTCGCAGGAGAGAGCTGCTGTCCGTAAGACTTTTAAAAACTACGTGGACCACGTTGCTTTCGTAAAGACTGAGGGCGAAGTCAAATATGTCTGCCTGAAGAAAAGATTCCGCGGTTCAGAGAGGCTCGATCCGGAGGACCTCCTTCCCCGTTATCCGCACGCTTCAGACGGCAGGAGTGACGCGGCAGGTGAGGCGCAACCACCTGACTCAAGTTACGGAAGTAGCGGCCAGGTGAGAGTTGATGCTGATCTCACCACCGCATCCACTTCTGCGGGGGAAGCCGACTCGAGCGAGGGTCCTCAGCTGGTCTGTTCAGTGGAAGAAGCGGAGATGGGAAACGGAGACAGCTTTAAAAGAGACAAGAGAGAGTCCAAGAAGAAGCAGGTCGGACATGGGCCTGAAATACCAGAAATATCTGTGACTAATGCTTCGCCTCTTCCTGCAGAGGGATCTTCGTTCAACATGCCGGGGCCTGTGCAAACCGGTACTACAGGACCAGTTCCCACAGGTGGTGTGGGACTCAAACCCGGAGACAGGCTGGTGGAGGCCGAGGCGCTCTCCCCAGAAGTCCTGGAAGAAGGAGAACACGGTAACGTGGTGGCCAGGAGCAGAGCTCCCTCCAGACAGCTGGAGTCTGATGATGATGAGGAGGAGGAGGATGGCGATGAAGGGCAGTCGGACACATGTAGCCTCTCTGGGAGCGAAGGACTCTGCAGCCCCAAAGGCAGCCGTAAACACTTCATGGAGGCCATGATGAACAGGTCCCCCCAGCCGAGGAGGAGCACGGTGACCAAAGGCTCGGTGTACTTGTCATCCAGGACCGACAGCGACTCGGCCTCCCTGGTCTCCTCCTGCCCGGACGACAGGACCCCGGTGGCTCTGGACCCGCTGGAACACGAGTGGATGATGTGTGCCTTGGACGGGGAGTGGGGCAGCATGCACCCCCTCCTCACCACGGAGCCCAGTCTGATCCTGAGGAAGGACTTCGTCACCGGGTTCACCTGCTTGCACTGGGCGGCCAAGCGAGGCAACCCCGAGCTGATGGCGCTGATCTTCAATTTTGCCAAACAGAACGACACTCCCGGTCAGCGTGGACGCTCGGTCCAACGCCGGTTACACGCCTCTGCACGTCGCTGCCATGCACAACCACATGGAGGTGGTGAAGCTCCTGGTGCGGGCCCTACAGCGCAAAGTTGGAGGTCACAGACTACGGCGCGAGGAAGGCCTGGCCGATCGCCCTGAACGTGTGAGCCGTGCATAGCCAGGACTAAATGGAGGATAGGAGACGCTCTGACCGGCGAGACGCGTGAGCGGC